TAGGCGGAAATGCTATAGCGTGGAGTTGGAGGAGGTGAGCGCGTGGGATGCGGCCCTGTAAGAGGCGGGAGAGATCGTTCGCCGGCAGCCAAGTTGAATCGACTGAGTGACTAAGTTTTGGAGAATGCAGAGGAAACGTGGATACAGTGAAAAGAACCTAGCTTTTGCGCGCCAAGTGGAATGGGAAAGATGGTGGTGCATCAACAAAATCTCACGACAAATTTAGTAGTTATTAGTTTTACTTTTATCGGCGTGGATGTTCTTATTTTCGAAAAATTGTGAACATTTTAGAAAATTTCGGCTACGTTTTGAAATTTTAAAGCTTATGTGATTTCCGATTTTTTTCCGAAATTCCGAAATTTTCGGGCCTTTTGGAATTGGAATGAATTTTTAGATTCCGAAATTTTTGGAATTGGAATTGGAATTGATTTGGTACTTTCGATTTTTTTTGGAAATTTTCCGAAAAGGCTAATTCCGCTCCAATCCATCCGACTCGCACCCCTATATATACATATATATACACACACATTACTAGAAAATCACTTATTGGCTACGGCACCATCCATCGCTAAACAATGTAAATCCGTCACTAACTCGTGATTAGCGACATATATCGTGTGTTGCCAATCCCAAAGAAAAAAGCGACGTCGCTTAATTTTAGTTGCGACTTGTTGAAATGCCGTCGCTACACGTGGCAACAAATAATGATCGTCGCTACACTCCATCGCTACGGTTGTCACAGACTAGTTTGTCGCTAGACATGGCCACGGGTTGGGTCGGGTCCGGGTCCGGGTTCTACTTTTTCGGGACCCAAAACCGACCCGCGTGAGGCGGGTCCAGGTCCGGGTCCGGGTTCTACTTTTTCGGGACCCAAAACCGACCCGCGTGAGGCGGGTCCGGGTCCGGGTCCGGTCGGATCCACTCGGGTCCAGGTCCAAAACCGGTTCTTGAATTTTTTTTTTAATTTTATTATTTTCACATATATCAAAAAAAGGAAAAAAAAAAAAAAAAAGATGAATTTAAAGGACTTGAGCTTAGTTTTAAATTCAAAATTATAAAATTTTAAATTTAAAACTAAGTTGCCTACGTATCCGGTATGGAATCAAAGTCCACGTAGTTCTCTTACCTTCACTTACCTTTTTAGTCGTCGCTGCCGCCGGGTGAAGTTGTATTCCCACCTTCTGTAGGAACATATTTATCATCGTCGTCGTCTTCTTTGTCGATGTGATCATCTTTGTGTCTGTAGTCGGTCTTCGTCCAATCTCCCAAAAGCATTTGATTTTCGAAATTGTCGGCACCGAGATTGCTTCTTGTTGGATCCAATACTCTACCGGCTACACTAAAGGCGGATTCGACCGCAACAGTGGAGACGGGGCAAGCGAGAACATCCGTGGCAATACGTGCCAAAATTGGAAACGATGAACTTTTTGACTTCCACCACGCTAGTATGTCAAAATCTGTACTTTCTGTGGAATCAAATCTAACGGTTAAATAACTCTCAAGTTCCAATCGTTGATTGGAACTTGAGGATGAGGACCTTGGGCGCTTGAAGCGCTCATGCAATAAACATTGGGCCGCCAACATAGTAGATGTATCCGTCGATGTTGAAGCAGGATTGTTATTTGAAACATTAGATGTTCGAGATATACTAGCATATTCATCATAAAGTTCATTTAATAATGTAGTCGAAGTGCTAACAAGAGTAGGCATGTTAGGAAGTGGAGGACAATCAATCAATGATATATCCTTAGACAAATTATCGTAATATATTTGTAGCATATCAGGTAATAGATCAAGCCTAAGTCTAGGATCTAAAATTGTAGCAACCAAATATAGTTCAGGAATATTCATATAATATTTGCAGAATTTTTTCTTAATTTCATTCAGACACGGAACTAAAATTTCAATTTGCATAGCTTCGTTAATAACACCGGCAACATTGCATAACTGATAAACAACTAAATGAACAGTAGGATAATAAGTACCAGATAATAAATCAGAACTTTCGGAAAAAATGCTTAAAGCATTACAAATTTTCAAGCATGTATCCCATTCAGATGGTAAAATATGAATTCCACCCTGAGAAAATTTTGTTTGAAAAAATTGACATATTAAGTCTTTATATGCAAAAATTTGTTTTAAAACTCTAAATGTTGAGTTCCAACGAGTTGGAGTATCTCGGTTAAATCTAACTTGATGCATGTGGTGGGTTTGACAAAACTCCCACCATTGTTTGGTAACCGACTTGTGTCGCCATATGTATTGAATACATGCTCTAATTTTAGTAATATGCGTTGACAACATTAGTAAACCATCTTGGACACATAAATTCAAAATATGACATATGCACCTAATGTGAAAAAAAATTCCCCCACGTGCTGGCTTACATGGATAGAAGCCGTGTTAGCACTTGCGTTATCGAATGAAATTGAAAAAACTTTTTCACTTAATAAATATGAATCTAACACATAGCGAAGTGATTGTGCAATTTCAGATGCAGGATGACCAGTATTCATAACATGAAAAACAATTTTTTTTTTCAAGTTTCCATGCACGATTGATCCAATGACATGTTACACCCATATAGTCATTACGACCCCAATGATCACTCCAAATATCATAACAAATAGAAACTTTGTTGTCTAGCATAAGAAATTCCTGTACTAATTCAAGTTTAAGTCGAGAAACCAATTGCTTTGTAGTTCGAGTAGTTGTAGTTTTTGGTTGACAAGAACAACTAGGTCCATACATGTTTTTCAAACGGTCTATAAGACAATCATTATCAGCAAAACTAACTGAAAGTGATGCTAATGAAATAACTCTAGCCCATTCTTCTCTTTCTACAATTTTTGAAAATTTAAAAAGTTGAGAATC